GGAAATTAATCCTAACAAGATTCAAGAACCATCCCAAACAGTAAAATTTTTAGGAATTCAGTGGCATTGTGGGCATCGGGAAATACTACCCAAAACTCGCACAACTATTGATATTGCCAGTTTTGAAAGCAATTGTGAAAAAAGGGGATCCACCTCAAGTCACCACTGTTCATGGAGATAAAGGGTTTGGATCAACTAATTTCAATAACGGAGCTAAAGTATGGGTCCAGAGTTCAAGCGGACCTCCTGAACCAGCTGAAGGAATAGCCACAGGAAAAGACAATACTGTTTTAATCATGAAACCTGGACAGGAAAAATGGGAATATGTTCCTGCGACTAAATGTTATCTGCGAGAATAACTAGATGTCTTAAGATTCTATCTTTTAGATCCTGCTAAGGTGGATTTGCCTGTGTATCATCATGGTCCATTTGGGAAAGGCTTTCACACCAGGATGGCCACTGGAAGGTCCACGAGAGACACCGCTGTCCTGGGTTGAGTGAGTGGTGGAGTTTTTTGGTGGCAGGGGAGGGGGCTATCGGGGCGGCCCCCTGTGAGAAGCTTCTCGAAGCTCCCCCAGCTCCACGTCAGCTCCACTTCTGTTTGGGAAACTGAGCCAATCGGCTGCGCCTCTGCGATAACGTATTTAAGAAGGGACGTGGTGACATGCAGGGGGACTGGAGAGGAGGAGGTGCGGCAGCTGCGTGAACACCAAGGTCAGTGGAGGAACGGAGGAAGAAAGGGGGGGGGAGGTGTGCCGGAGCAGAGACCCCCCTGTATCCTGTGGTGAGACGGCAGGGCGGCCCACCCTGCCACCCATGAAGATCTACGGTGGAGCAGACATTGATTTACAGCCTGTTGTTCCTGCTCAGCTGATCAAGGTTCTGTGCCCGAAGAAGGCCGGGGTCTCATGGGAAAAGGCAGCCCCGCTGCTGTAATTCAGTGCTGGGAGGATTGCAGCATGCGGGGGTGTCCCACGCTGGAGCAGCTCGGGAAGGGCTGCAGCCGTGGGAGGGAATCCAGTCGGAGGGAGTTAGTGACCCATGACGGAGCAGTGTGGGGAATGCTGCGGCCCGTGGGAGGGACTCATGTCGGAGAAAGTTTGTGGAGGACTGTCTCCTGTGAGAGGGGGACCACGATGGAGCAGGAGGAACAAGTTTTGGACACTCCCCTCACCGAACATGAAGGAAGCGGCAGCACTGCCTGCACCCCCCATTCCCTGCCCCTGCACCACTGGGGGAGGAGGTAGAGATATCGGGAGCAGAGCTGAGCCCGGGGAGAAGGGAGGGGTGGGGGGAAGGTGTTCTCAAGATGTGGCAATGCTTCTCACTGTCCTACTCTGTTATGTGTTGTTAGTGTCTGTAATAAATGTATGTTCTTTTTTTTCCTTCCCCTAACGAGTCTGCCTTTTGCTCGTGATCATAAAAGGGGGATTTTCCCCCATCCCAGTCCTATCTTGAACCCCAAGCCTGGCTCTCTGTCCCTTCTCATTGCCGGAGGGGAAGGGAGAGAGAGATGCTGCATTGTGGTTGGCTGCCAATCAGGCCTAAACCACGACAACCGCTTAGGTGGCAATGGAAAAGTGCAACCAAGACAAGACAACAGGATAATTTCCGTTGCAAAGCCAATTCTGCCTGTATCATAGCCAATGTTACTTTCGGTACTCAGTTTATTGAAATATTCAGTGAATCTGTGTAAATGGACAATTTTGCCCAAAAGCTTTGATATGTTTGTAGAAATCAGTGCTAAGCATGTTTGTATGGTAACAAATGATAAAAATCTTATAGAAATGTATAATCTAACTACTCCATTTTCGGGATGCCTCAGAAATGTATTCTATCTCATCTGGCACGGAGAGATGTATACTTTTTATTCAACGCATGAAGAACAACTAACCATGTACTGGCATCCCCAAGGCTTAGGACTTAATGGAATCAGCTTATCCCTGACTCCACTGAAAACCATCATGGAACAATCAGAACATTTGCGATGACACCTGGAACAACGAAATAAAACTCTGTCAGACTCTGTGATACAGACTGTAATCACAAAGAATCAACGAATGTCGCTAGCTAGCCAGATGGAGAAGGAGACTGCACACCACTGGTGGGACATCTTTACTGGGTATTCATCCTCTGCAACCCAAGTGTTGAATTTCTTAATACATCCTCTTGTAATATTGTTAGTTATCATTATTATTATTACTTTATATAATTGTTATGTATGGTATTGTATCAAACGGACAGAGTGAACATATTGGGCTCTTCCAACAGGGTCGTGATCTTCACTCATAAGTCAAAGGACCGATTGAAACAAAAAGGGGCCCAAACAATAGGCCTCAAACCAAAGTTGACTTCTGAGTGAATTCCCCAACCAGCAATCAGCATCTTATCAGCAGAAGGAAGCAACCAGCATTTTATCAGTGTAAAAACGCATCCCTGGGAACTATAAGTAAACAATATGAAGTAACTATGAATCCCAAATGTAAAGAAAAACAGAAACTCCTCAGACATGCCCGGATCCTGGCCAGATCCGGACACGCCTGAGTGAGGCACGTCAATCTACCAGATATCTCCTGTGCATTTTGTTTAGACTTGTTTGTTAAACTGTACAAAAGCCGGGCCCTCTCCCAGCACAGACGCAGACCTCCCCTACGAGCGGACGCCCTGCGTGGGACTTCCCAGCTGCCGGGAAAGGCTCTGCGACCCTTCGCTGGGACGGGGCTCCCCAGCTGGTGCACGGGGCGGGGGGATGGGAAAGCAGGAGGGCAACTGGTGATGTACCTTTCTTAATCACTATAGCCAGCTTTATGTAGTAATGTCTAGGTGCATTACCTTGCTTATTCTTTCTGCTGCTTTAAACAGTAATGTCTAGGTGCATCACCTTGCTTATTATTTCTGCTGCTTTAAACTAAAGTAAAATAAGCCTTTTTCTTTAGCTTGGTGTCTGTGTCCTTTGTGTTAACCCCGTCAATTGGCAGAACAATAATTCACATGTATGTTCTTTCAAAGTACAGTAAAGCAGCCTAATAGTTAAATGGACAGGAAGCTACTTGTCTTCTAAGTTTCAGACAGTAATTTAAAAAAAACAACAGAAAACTTCTATTATATAAGCAGGAGTAATAAAAAGTACACTGAATGTTCATATTCAAGTCATTCTTTCACATACAGACACATTGTAAACTAGGATTACATCCCCTCATCTTTCCTGACTGGTCTTTTTTGTGTAGAAGAGAAACACAAAACCTCATCTTTCATTCCTCTCTCTCCCTCTCTGTCTCCTGTTCCTTTCACCTGCTCTCTGGTGCAGAGATTTGCCATCTCACACTTGCAGCTACGAGTTCACAGTAATTTTTAGATGTCACCATCTCCTTGCATAGACTTATTAGGCCACAAAAAGAAGCTTCTTCCTATGTTCACATCTAACAAATGCGCAGAAAGCATATAGAGCTCTGCCGTCAATTTCTGGTATAGAATAACTTGGGAAGTTTTTTCCAATCTATCCAATGCCCAAAATTTCTCTCAGGCACTTGCTTATGAAACTGCCCAGAATCCTGTCTATTTTCTGTAAAAATCTGTATCTCTTGCAATTATACATTAATATTTAGATCATGTTTAGCTAGAAATTTCTCAAGTCCGTTCCAATGCAGTGTTCTCTCTTAATTCCATACATCCATGGGAATAGTTCCCCAACTTAAGTGTAACTTCCTCTTTCAGCTTTTGAATAGTTAAAACAATCCTTGCAAATGAGAAAAATGGCTCTCACTCCCTTTCTGAAATTTTTAATTGTTGTGAGGTAATGCAATTAGTGTGGATCCTTGTTCTGCTTTATCTTGTCTCTTTGTAGCTTTTAGATCCCACTGCTCAATTGATGCAATGACATCAGAAAAGTTTAGCTTTTCTAGGTATTTACCTAGAAGGTGTGATCACTGTGCAATTAAGAAGATATAGGTAACAAATCCATGGCAATACCAAATTGTTACAAAATCTGCATTCATTGTTACACGTAAATACATTGTCTTGATGACAAGGGCAACCCCCACAGGATAATTTGAGGATCAATTGTGTGTCCCCCAGAGATCTTCTCCAGCTGTTAGTGATCACTAAAAGACACCATTTCCTCCTGAATCTTAAAAAAGGCTGGTCAGAGTTCCCACCTATGACTTACTCTAAAATTAAGTGCAAACTGACTTTAAACCAAAATCATTCCACATTTAAGTGAAACCATCACAGTTCTTTCTTGTTACAAGTTTGGAAATAAGATTAATTTCACATTATGTTTTTCAGGTGATTATATTTGAGACACTATAGGCTAAGAGGAGAGTTCCAGTGTGGGAATTCTAAAAATTAAGTGACACTGGGAGTGTTTTCCAAGTAGAGCAATCAACACAGATTGGATGGCAATGTATCCAGTTCCACCCAGAGAATATGCAAATAGCTTCTTGAGACTGGAAAGCCTCTGTAGTATGGCATGGAATGAGCAGACCCTAATGAAATTTAAGATCTTAACTTCAGGATGTATTGCAACTGTTTAACTTTTACATTGACAAAGGCAACAATGACAATTCTTAGCAATAAGCAAAGATGGGCGGCCTGAAGAATTTTTAATTCAAAGCAGAGGTCACTGAATTAGCCATCAGAATATATCTGAGGTAGTAGATTGGCATAAGACTTGAACAAATATTTGTTTATAACTGTAAGAGAAAATAAGATAAAACAGTAAAGAACAGAAGACTTATCTTGCCAACTGCTTTAGTCTGCTGACAAAGCATCTACCATTATCTGCAGATGATAGCTGTAGTAAGTTCTTATTTTTACAGTTCACAGCATAGACAGTGTAGAGAATTTTACCTGGAGAGCTTAAAAAAGCCTGACAATAAGTGATAAAGAATTACAAGCTTTGCTATGATCACATTCATGTTTCCATATAGGCTCACAAAATACTTCTCTTATCTCCTTGGCAGTTTACTATAAAACATTTTTTAAGTCAATTATTCACTTACCATCAGAGTAACTGCAGTTGCCTTGATAATAAAATCATTTACAGATACTTTAATGTCATCTGCAAAAAGAAAAAAAGACAACAATCATTGCTCGTAAGATTTGTTTATCAGCATTTGTGTGATGGCAAGATTCCAGTGATTCAGCAGATATACTTCTTTGAAACATTGCAAGAAAGTAACTTATCTTCAAACTACAATCACAAAAGCAAGAACACTTTTCTCCCCCTTGGGACAGAAGGAGTATTATCAAGTATCATCTCTCTTGAGCAAATACATTCTTGCTAGCTGTTACTAGAAGATCAAAAAAGCTGCAAATTTTAGTATTACTACTCATTCTTATAAGTAGCAGCCCGTATGTTTTTTATGCTTTACATATTTACTGTCTGTGTAGAAATCTACTGTAGGATCTAAATATACAGAGACAATACTGGAGACTACTATTCTTTATGTAACGTGCTACATTAAATGGAATAACTGCAGAGATCAGCTTTCATTCAGCTATGAATCAGAAGTATGTTATTCTCCAGTGACTTCTGGAGTCTTATGTATGAATTAGCAAGGTGAAGGCATCTGGCAATCTTTAAAATGGGTTAACAACATATTCTAATGCATGCTACAAAATAATGAGTGACAGAGTTGTTAAAAGCAAAGCTACACACAAAAAAAGGCAGCACAAGCCAGAAGCAGATAAAATAACCTTGAGAAGACTAGGTTTTTTCAATGTGAGCCTAAGAATTACTGTGTAACTTAGTACACTTGCATTCTTTCCCAAAAGCTCTGGAGAAAGGAGGTATGGAAACAATGGCTATATTTGCTCTGCTTTATTTTTCTCCCAGTCTTAGGAGACCAGAAGTACTAACTAAAATCAGAACTAGCAGCAGACACAAAGACTATAGATACAATGCAGAATATGCCACAGTTGATACAAGATTATCCTGAACATGCATGATATTTCACAATATTAAATGCATCGTTCTCACACTAAAAAAGTTACATTACTCTGCTACCACCGCTGACTGCTGAACAGATCAAGAAGCAAAACTAATTCATTTTGAAGTCTGATTTAGGGCATGTAATACATATACCTTTAAAAATGCTTTTGTAAAGGGGAAATTCCTTATAGATAATTATATTAAGTGAAATCTTCTTAAGCGATCACAAATTTAGAGGAATGAAGCAAGTATCCACTTAACTACATAACTGACGTGCAACATTTACCACAATTAGTAATCTATGTATAAGAAGACAGAATTCTAACACAGCACAATGGAACTTGCAAGTACTATGTCACACTAACAAAATTTCACATCAAACAAACCTGTATCTTGGGCATCAAATGTATTCTGGTATTTTATATTTTGATTTATATATTACATTCCTAACTCTTGGCAAAAATGTCACTGTCCACTAGGGGGACAGGAATACAGTGAAAAATGCAGGAGCACTGTTACAGGAAGAATATCTGATAATATTTTCCCTACTGTAAACTTCAGTGATTGAGGGTAAAATTGCTGTATTTTACCCTTAAATCATAGCAGTTTACAGTACAAAATACTGCATAAAACTTCCACATTATGTTTCATCATGTAGTGGAAACCACCAGCATTTCCATCAGAAAAATATATCAAACAACTATCAGGACCATCTCTGCAATTCAATTTTATGCCAAGACATATGGCTCTCTCCCACCTCTCCATTTTTAAAAAAAATATTAACTATGAATCTATAGTAGCAGGAAAGATGTGAAAAATTTTAAGTGAGCATTCCTTAGACATTTTTTTACTTCGTTTCTTATGACCTGTTGCTGTTTAAAGAAGAAGTCAACATCATAAATTGTCTTTGACATTAACTTGTGAATAAGATACCATTAAACAAAAAAAAAAGTATGAAGAAAAGTGACCTGGGTACTGTTGTGTAAAGTAGACATTCAAAATTCCAGTGAAAGGAGAAGCAGCTCCTGTATCACCATCTAGAAAATCTGAATATACCAGTCTAATTTAATTTAGGACCTCACAAATGGATGGACAAGCACGGGCTAGTCACCAGTACATAACATTAGCCCTCCAATGTCAGCATTCTACTTCTTAGGTATAAAGTTCTGTAACACTAAGCTGAGAGAAAATTTACTCACAGGGTAAAGCCTCAGGAACAGCAAATAATTATGAAGTACCCTAACACTCCTGGAGGACTTATGTCTTGTGCTATAATGCCACATCAAAAGATCTCCATATTGGAATACCCCCAGTAAAACCAAACCAGTCGAAATTGCTAGATCTGGCTGCAAGTAGATCTTTTGTTATATCAAGAAAAACATGGGTCAAGGAGAGAGAAAGGAGTATCCACTTCTTTGTCAGACACACATATCACCACATGAACACTTATCTGTGCCTAAAACCTAGCTGGTCCCTCTGTATATAGAACCTTTCAAGGCTAACTTCATGAGGTTAATCTTGAAAACCCTTTTCTACACATCCACATGGTAACACATTCATGTAAAGAAAGTTAACTTGGACCTTGAAGGTAGTTTCTGATGTTGCACTGTGATAATAAAGCTGTTCAACCTTGCACCAGAGGCAAAGCTTTCTGTAAATCAAAAATCCTTCTACTCTTGAGTACCAGTATCTAAATGACCCAAGCGGTAGAATCTTATTAAAGATTTAAGATGGAAGAGATGCCACATATAAAAGCTATAGTACCATTCCGGGGTAGAGGGTGTGGGGCAACAACAACCTATATCTGGGATAATATACATTGAATATTGGATTGCTAATGTGCCTGCCTTTCCCTGAAGACAAGAAAATTACTCATTTGACTTATGTTGCTCTTGTCATACAAAGGAATTATGGATGGGACCAAGAAAGCTTCTGAAAACCTAGGCACTTTGTCTAGGAAAACTACAATCCCATATTTAAAAAAAAAAAAAACAAAAAACAAAAAACAAACAACAAAATATCCCCTACAAAAACCATAAAGGCTAAAGATATCTTTCAACTCTTGTTCTATTGCTTTTCTCCATCATGCTACAAAAACCCCAAACAACAAACAAAAAAACCTTGTAAGAAATAAAGATGGGTAAATAGCACCAAGAATGTTTTGGTCAAATCACTAAAAGATTTTGTCACAATTTGCTTGAAGAGCAACTCCTTGTGGATCATCACCCAAAGCTACAGTAATAAAAATACTACTTTAAAATTTCCAATGTGTCAGTGGTCAGAAGTATTTGTGTGACTTTGGAGCCTATATTTTGTTGACTTAAAAAACTGATAGTTGTCTCCTCAGTGATAGAAAACCATATTTTGCTCTCTACCAGATTATTTATTAGAAAAGTTATTTAATACACATTGTGCAATGTGTACTTTGCACTTAAGAATAAAGGGGCACACAGAAGTGTGTATCTCCCCAGGATACCAAGAAATACCAACTTTTACCTCTTTATGCATTTGTATAAGTGCCTTATCAATGAAGGATTCACACCCATCTATTTACCAAAGTTCGGTACCCAAACCTTCTCTTTCAAGAGCTGAAAAGGGATGTGACATCAGGATATCTATTCACAAAAGCACAAACTGTTTTATTACTGCTCATTGCTAGCTAGAAAAAAACCCACCCTCTTCCTTCCTTCTATTTGACATCAGTCCAAACTGACTCTTCTACCTCCTGCATGCTCAAATACATTTCAAGTTGCAGACACTTCAAAAGATCATGTCAGACACTATTTGAACTCATTATTTCTGTGAAACCAACATGTTTTCTTTCAGATTTGCTTTAATCCATTCCAATTATCAGTAAAGCTTCAAATGAAAAACAAGCTTTATTTTTACAAAACGTATTGATTAAAATATTGTTTTCAGTTATGTATAAGAGAATAAACATAACAAAAAAGTATAACATTTTAAACATACATGATACACATTTTTCCCAGATTGTCATTTAAGGTTTCTCCAAGACATTGCTTAGCTACTGCAATTTGACAGAACCATACCTCATGGGGACCACTTTCTAGAACAGACCTCAAAAACTAATTGTCGGACCCTTAAAATTCACTCTCCCAACTCCAGAACTGCTTACATTGATAGCCCTCCAAGATGACATAATTTCTTCCTTTAGTCTTATTTCCTCCTCATTCTTATTTTCAAGAAATGCAACCTTCAGATGTAGAGCAATACGTTGTAACAACTCATATTTCTTCCCCATCAATCTTTCAAGCTCTCTTCTTTGTCAGTTTGGATTAGGTTCTTCATACTTTCAGGAGTTTTGCTAAACATAGCCCTACTTACAACCTAGAAAACTTTAACTTAAAAAGGTCCTCTTACTCTTTCATGACTTTTCAAAGTCATTATTATATTTTGCTTTGAAAATAATAACTGAGTAAAGTTGCAAAACTGATATAAAAACTGAAGGTAATTTGATAGATTCTTCCTTAGTCACATGCAGCTTCTGAAAAAATTTTTCAGGAAGAAATTATGACTCAAGTTGAATGAATGTGCAATATTTTGATGATTAACAGTGTTTCTTTTTTTACAGCCCAATGATCCTTGTGATTTGGGATCAGTTTTCTTGGCTGTTGTTCAGACCCCTCTAACTGGCTTATACAAGCGTGAAAGTATCTGCGGCCTGATTCTGTGAGTAAGTCTTTAAGTTTTACAAATTTCAGCTAAACCTTATAAGATGCAGCATTCTCAGAACTACACCTAATTTGTGCAAGTTATAGTCATGGCAATATCAGCAATAGGTGGCCACAGCTTTCACGCTCTTCTCTAAATGCTTCAATAAAGGAGAAGAAATCACTCAGTTTCTCAATCAGTACAACAATAAAAATGTAAATTAAAACTATCCTGTTATGCTATACTGAATGCAGAGTTCACATGGCTTCAGAAAACTACCATTTCAACCTGAACCTATAAGCTTTCAAACCATGATAGCAATGATGAAGCTTTAGAACAAAACTTGAAGTGTCACATGGCACTGCCTTAGACCTATAAATATTCACTTTTCATTATTGTGGTAATGTCTACCACAGCATACACTATTAATTCTATTTCTACTACTTGGTGTAATACTGAGGTTACACAACTGAAAAATGAATTATTGAGAATAAATGACCTAAGTGATACTGGAAAAAAGGACTAATTGAACAACACCAAAAAGAAGCCATGTGAGATTTTTTTATGTACCTTCCTCTTGTGTAGACAGCTGCATTCTCCCATGAATGTCCTGAGTCTTTAGAAACAAACTTTGGTCCTTAAAAAAAAGTACAGAAAAGTACAGTAGGATCAAAAGACCCCAAACTGTTTCTCCTCATTATAAAATAATAGGCCTTCAGAATTTTTTAACCAAGTGACAGACTTAGTACTATGAGATGTATGTGCACATGTCTCCTTTGTGAAACAGAACTTATACTACTTGCGTATGCAGCCTGAATAGTGTGGAAAATGAGATTTCATAAAATGGAACAAATGATGAAAATGAAATTTATAAAGTGGCAGAGATTAATCTGCGTGCCTGGAATAGTATCTAAACTTCATAGGTATTGAAAAGTCAAGTTTTATAAACAAATAAATTATTCTTTCACCAGCATAATTAGCTAAACCTATCAAAAGAAAAAGTAATCAATATTTCCCCAATTTGGTTTGAAAAGGGATCTCTCCTCTAAAAGAATGAAAATTAATTTAAAAAGCTATGCCTAATTAGTTTGGCTGCAACTGATAAAGTAGACATCAACTAAGCTCAACCTATTACCAACAGAAAAAATGCAACAGATGTCATGTCATTTTAGGCAGAGAGAGATATTGTCAATTCAATAAACAGTAGTGCTAACCTCAGATGCTAGAAATAAATATTATTCTTTGTGAAGAATATTCCACATTTTACAGAAACTTAAGACCAGAAGAATCACTTACAGATGTTGAGGTCAATCATACTACATGATCTTGACTAATTCATCAAGTTCTGCCTTAAAACCAGACAGATTTCCTGAGAAGGCTGCTCTTCCTGGACAGCTGCAGCCAAACCTCATTTCTCAGTGAATTAGAATTAGTTAGAGCTCCATGGACAAGCAGTGAATTGAAGGCAGGCCTTGCTCCCACCCAGGCCCGTCTCCATTTCCCTCAGCTACTGGTTCTTACTTTGCAACATCACCTCAATTGTGCTTCTATTTGCATTTAAGTTTTACAAGTCTGATGAAAAAATGTGTCAGTGGATTGGGGCAGCTTAAAATAACTCAAGTTTTGGCATCAGAGGGAATGAAGACACTACAGAGGCAGAAACATACTGCACTTTTTCAACTGTTTAATCCAGCTTTTCTGTGAAGAAAAATATCTCCCCTCAAAAAATCTGTAACCTCTGCAAGTAGTTTGGGAGATAAGTAAAGATAGAAGATGTGATGAAAAAGTACAGTGATTCACTAATTTTTTCCATAGCTTACCAGATTGGTGACAGAGATATAACCTTTCTGAGAAAAATAGTCTGACAGTGCAACTGCTCAACAATTCTCCCTCTGATTTGATTTCATTACAGTCCTTTAAATTCTTGTTCAATATGTGTATTTAATGTAATATAGCCTTAAGTATTATGGGAAAAAAGGAACATTACATTACGAAATAAGTTTTTCCTCAGGCTTAACTATCTCCCAGTCAAAACATAGAATTTTTAGGAAATCCTCTAACTTAAGGTGAGTTACTGAAGAGCAAGATGACCTAGATTAATATAAGCCTAAACTACTCAGCTGTAAATGTGACTTGATCAAATTAACTTACAGATGTCAAAGCTTTATGAAAACACTCCTTTCCACATTTTTGACATTGGTATTTAGAAAAAGACTGCACTGTGTTGGTGTCCTCTTTACAGAATATTAAAACAGATACCAAAATAAATAAAGAAGAGAGAAAAAGAAAAATGCTAGTAACTGCAGGCAATTGCAAGAAAAAACCTAATATAAAACAATGCTTTCCTAAAGAGTTTCCACAGGTTTTGGGTTAAGACCTTCACAAATTATGAAACTGGAGCCACTTCCTGTAGATAACATTAAAATTAGTATATTAACCAAATATTTCTAAATATAATAGAATTTATTTAAATTAAGATTATGAAGTTAAAATAATAAAAAAAAACACCCTAGCTTTCATTCAGGCTTTTTAACACAACTAAGTAGAAGTCCTTGAACAAAAAGACACTAAGCAAACAACACTGTTTCGATATTTTGAAAGAAAATGAAGTACCTGCCTGAAGAATGTTCTATTGAAAAATACTCTTGGTTTTTTAAATGCATGTCATACATACTTTGTTCAACCGAGATTTGGGAAAGAAGATTCTAGAGTCTGCACAGTTAATTCTGAAATGATTAAAATATGCTGTTGCACAGTACACTCAGCTGATTTTAGCAAAACCAAAAACAGTTTTAGCAAAAAACAAAACAATCTTTGATTATGACCTTAAACTTCAATAACTTTTTCTAAATAAGTAATTTCAGTGAATACAAGTTAAGACAAAAAGGGAAAATTTAATTTCTTAATCTTATACATAGACATTTATGTATAAATAAGACACAGTGGACATTATGAAAATTGGGATTTACACACACATATCTATAGAGAAATACTGATAACTTTTATCCAATTTTTTAATTTAATCCAATTATATTTTAAACCAACGTATATTTTAAAATTATCCAGTTTTCTGTGGGACAGATTTCTATTCCAACAGCTTAAGATAGCTTTAAGCATATAAATTTCAATGAGCCTCCTTCACATTAATACCAGTACTTTGCCTTCAAGAGGAATTCACCATACATTGGCTGGCATGTGCTAAAAATTTGCTTTCCTTCCTCACCATGGATAAAGCCATTCTTACCCAGAATTTGGAAAGCTGCATTAGCTTTTATTTTCCAGTAAATTCAACAAAGAGGTCATCAAAACTAAATTTTCACATTGTACCTAGGACAGAATTACAGAATCATAGAATACCAGGTTAGAAGGGACCTCAAGGATCATCTGGTCCAATTTTAATTTGAAGCTTCCTATATTATCTTTCACATTAATAATTTGAGATTTTAACCATCAAGAAGCTAAATATTGCTGCACCTGGATGGAAGGAAACAAAAACCTACTGGACAAACTGTAGTCCTGTGTTAAATTGCAGTTGTGTATAGTGTTGTTTTAGCTGGCAAAGTAACAACTCTGTCTTCCTGTATCTTGACAAATTGTCCAATTCAATAATCACAGGGAACTACAGCTTGAGTCCAACATACAGAATACTGAAAAAGATTATTTGATTGCACATTGTTCTGCCTATACAAAAATCTGCACTTCCTGTGCAAATTATGTAGACAAGATAAACCATGCATTAATACCACAGGTTACAGTAAATCAGGTTAAATCACTAACCTTTGGCCAATTCCTTTCTTAATTTCAAAATAGCATCAATGTCACAGTCAGCAGCAGCATACGCATGAGGTATAGTAGATTTAGACTCTGTTAATCTCTTAGCAATAACTCTTCGGATGTTGCTAGCTGGGATTTCTGTGAATGTGCCCTGAAAGAGATCATATACATATTAAATATCAAAAGAGCAAACATACTTCCCCTTTGTTGAAACAGGACTTCAGCATTGTTGCATTACCATCAGTGACTCCTGCTCACTTCAAATATCTCCTAGGTATCAAAAAGTGATACATTCCAACTCCTGAAATCAATATGATTAAGACCACTGAGTGTTCTAGTCTATTCCACTTAACGTGGATCAACACAACAGGTTTTAAAGAATACAGACAGTTTCACTTTACCGTATATAACTAATCCTACTATTCTAGCAGATTGTTTAAAAAAGTATTTCCAAATATTCAGGCATTAATTCTCAGCCAGCGTATGCAAGCACTGTTACTTCTGCCAGAGCTGGCATACTGCTCAGAATATACTTTGTTCCACTTAAATTATAATAGAATATTTCCTCAGTAAGGTACTGCTTTTTCAGATTCCCAAGTGGTTTCTCAATACAGGCTTTACTGTGCATCTTTTGTTATTCTTCTCTCTCCTTCCAGACATATTCAGTATTGTTTCACTGCAGAAGTTTTCCCAGCTTTTTCACAGAAGCAAGTCAACTTTTGAGGAATCTCTTAAAATATCAGTGACTACAGAAAGCAAGAAAATAAGTGATTCTGTAAAACATTATTTCATATACCTAATCTATTGTATGTATACTACATACTGAGTAGTACTAAACACAATGAAATGCAGTATATATGTTCTGGTGCAATCATAGAAACATTTTTTCTGTAACAGAAAAATATTTAAGTTTGAGCTTTCTGTACATTGTTTGGTTCTTTGTACAGTGAAAGAAAATCATCACTTCCTGAATGAGTTTTAACTACACTGTAAACTTCAGCCTGTAAAGATACTTCAGATTTAGTTCTAGAGCCACAAAGGTGTTTCCCCCCATTTTCCACACCACCTTTTCAATTTCTACTAATGTGCATTTAAGCACAGACATTTCTTCTTTAAAAAATCATTTCTGGTATTTTTAACATTTCAATTAACATAGAAACTGTATTTAGGTGCTGCAATTTGCTCTTCAAAGCAGCCACTAAACACTTTCTTTCCTCAATTCTTCATAACTCTTCAATGGACATTTACATATATTACAGGAAAGCAAACAAATGAAGTAGAGTAAAAATACATCAGATTCAAGTCTCTCCAAGTTTGGAAATATACACTGACATACTTATCGTGCAGGGATTGAGGGAAATGTTGGTACTGTTGATTTCCAAACCAGTAGTATCTTCTTGTTTGGGGACTAAAATAAAACCACTGCCTCTCTGACTTTCCTGTTTCCAGGGCCTGCAATGTAAATTTTTTCATGGCTTCAATTTGCAGAATACACAAAGTAGCATGCAGACTACAGTTTCAAGAGCTCTGCAGTTCGAATTACATTGCTTTAGAATCACTCAAATGTACTAAAAACTGCACATGACCCAATTTGCCATCTGGGTGGCCTCAGTTTCCTTCATCTCTCCAGTTCTGGAAATCTCATATGGCTTAAGTAGCCATAGCAATATTTAGCTGTAGCAATGTTGAGGACTTAATAGAAGCATTACCAATGTAGCACGTTGTCCTGGTGTGGAAACTGGTGGAACTGCTGGCCTTGGATAAGCAGAAGTCACAGCTGTTGCTTGCAAAGCAGAAGGCACTGCAGTAGGCTGAGGAAGAGCTGGGGAAACCACTGGCTTCAATTCACTGGATTTGCCCTTCTGCTTCTCTTGCAGAAGTTTGAGAGCATCCCTGGTGATTAAACACAGTGAAATATTGAGCACAAAGAAACTGTTTCAAAAACTCCCAAAATATTATTATTTCATCATTTACTTTAGTTAATTAGCCACTTCTGTGCATTTAAATTTCTTTTGTCAAACCAAACATTAAGAAAGTGATTATTATTAACTGATATGAATTTTGTGCCTCTTGTGATATCTTTTTAATTCTCATTAACTTCTGTGAATGAAAGGACTTGAATATGCAGCAACAGAAAAACTTTGTGTTAGAGAAGCATAAGATTCATCATCACTAGTTGTGAGTGTACAAGGCAATTTGTGAATTGCACTAAATTATTTTAACTAAAATATCAAAGTACACTTACTCATGTTATAAAGTCCCCAACAGAAGGTATTTCATCTGTTTCATTTGTAATCATTTGAATTAAATGTAATTAATTATTACTCACAAAAAAATTAGTAGTACATTTATCATTCATTTCTCTGTACCTTTCTGACATAAATATGCACAAACAGGTATAGATAATATATAAGTCCATACTTCATAAGCAGTTTGAAAGACAGCACTACACTAGAGAACCAAAGCCAAAAATTGAGTAACACCTACCGGTCCCAGTTGTGGCCGAACCTTGTCTACTCTATAAAGACCCCAGAAGAATGCTTATACCCATACAGCTACCATCAGAAAACTAACCTCTGTGGGCACAGAATGACAGGCAGAAGTAGACTCCCATCTTTATGCTATACTACTACATCTACCCTAGGTGCACTGTATTTATAAAGCAACATGCTAAAGATTAGCACCTGTGAAGCTAAACAGAAAAGACTGTATTTCTATGACCACTGCCAACTTCAAGGGAAATAAGCTATAGTAAAACTTCTGTTTTGCTATTGTAACTGCACCTGTACTAGCAATTTGTTAGAAGAGTTGTATCATAGATCGCCTTTTGTTATGCTCCAGATCGGATAGCAAAAGTCTGTATCATATACCCTAGATAAACTTCTATCACTTCATGAAGACATCACCACAGCATGTACACAAAGGTTTATGTACACAAAGTTACATTACATAAACTGGCAGAGGAAATTAAAAATAAATGTAAAAATCAGTCTACTTACAACCATACTATGGCTTCAAAACATAAGACATAAATATTAAACAACAAAGCTACCTAATTTCACTAGATTACTGCTTGAGTGAGTCTATTCTTGAGTGAGAGTCAATAGTTTATGTGTCATTAAATATTTGTAGAAAGGACAAAAATCTCAGAACAACATTACGTATTATTAGTTTTTCCTAACAAAGTAGCACTCCAGAACCAAGAACTGAAAACTGGAAAGCTCTGTATGTCCTATATAATGCCTTTTACTAATTGCTGGCTTGCTTCAATTTATTTTTAGCTTCAGTACATACTTAAGCAAATGATATTAAAAATTAAAAAATGACTGAGCTCAGGATGTAAATTTGTTATTCCTGCAGTTGTTACTTCTTTTACCAAATTAACATGTTAGCCAAAGTTTGTTTTAAAAATAAGTGTTTAGTATTTAACATAACTACTATATCAGGGGAAAAAAAAAAACAGATTTCACTGAATATAAATCATCCTCTAGCATTACAATTTGAGACAAAAAAGTAACTGCATGATATAATGTAACTTTCCTAGTTTACATACTAGAAGCTACCAAAAATTACTTAAGGTTTTAACTTGGCAGGCATAAGACAGACCATCTGCTCATCATATTCCATAATACATAACATAAAGCTTTTATAGTTTCTTATATATTTTAAAGCTAAGGAAATGCTTTAAGTTACTTCCATACATTATGCAAATAACAAAAAAAGATGGTCCGACCTATCATAGCCACGTCGAAAAGCTTTAATAATTCCAGTCACTTTTAGTGTGTCAACTTAAAAATGTATTGCCAAAATTGAACTTATTTTTAGATTACAAGATTCACGCAGCAGTTTCTGAAACTCATGCATGAGTATGAGATAAATATATATAAAATATACATATCTAGAAATCAGATTTCATATGTATTTATATTTTCACATATTATATAAATATTTGTTATACATACATATAAAAGTAATTCCCCCACAACCAATTCCACATGATTTAACTGATTAAGTAAAATATACAGCGATGTTATGACTGTCATGGGTTCAAGACTGCAAGCCTGCATACAAGTAGAGTTGGAAGAAGCACCAAAGTAAATAAAATTAAACATATTTCAGAACAAGTCAAGCAAATTGATATTTTATTAGAACTGGAAAAGGAAGGGTTGGACACATATTTTCAATTACTCTATAGACCTCCATCAACATAGGACAGTAATTGAGAAAGATGAGACAGATGTAACAAACATGAGAGAGAGCAGTATGCTCCCCAGAAAAGATACCTGAGCTTGGTAAGCATTTATTAAACAGAAATATGCCTTACCAAACTGTTATTATTGGAAGTATGCAGACTCTGGTAACTCTGTTAGACTTCAGTTTACCACTTCTACAGAAGTGTGTAGTTCTTCCACTTCATGTTAGCCAAAATCCGAAGAATTGTGAAAGTAAAATGAGTCTTTTGTACTCAAAATATACTTTGAAATGGACAAGTTAGGGATTATACACACACCTAAAAATCATTAAGGATCTAGTGGTGCAACAGGACATGCACAGATTGACACTAGCTTCCTCTGGTGTCAATTACTGTTACTAAATTGTCCCAATCCGCTTTCATCTGAACATCCAATTACTCAATTCATAGAAGATTTCACGGAAGAAGGAGAAAGGTGAGCAGAGAATGTTACACATCAGAAACTTCTAGGTATCAGACCAACTGCACTGATCAGCTTTATAGAAGGAACTCATTCCTCCATAATGGCAGCTGACAAACTGCACGCAGCACAGATTGCTCTGTGAGTCTGCACTCAGTACACACACATTAAATTACCCTCTGGAAAATCAGCACTACATGTGTGCACTGTGCCTTATCTGCAAGCTGAAAATGCAAATGTCTCAGCAGCTCTGAGATCCCAAATGACACTTAGTGACAGTTGGTAGGAAGGTACAGATGGGAGGAACATGGCCTCAGTGAAGCAGTTATTATTGGTAACTAGCTCCCCCACCTTTTTACGGTTGCACTTATAAATCCCTAGATCACCAATAAATAGGATGAGAAAAAGCAGAAGTCTAAAACAATAAACAATTTTAACATAGCTCTTCCACACACTGTCTGAGCTGATGACTAGGAACATGGTGCAATCTATGATGGAAGTTGTGATTTACTTTGTACTAACACATCAATTTTCAAGTATATTTCTGAAGAAAGCAGAGGATATTGCTTAAAAATAAAGCTGCCACTCAGTAAAACTAAAGCGGGAAATCAACAACAGTAACTCAGCCTTGCACAGATATATAAGAGAAATTAAGTATCAGTCCACCAAGGGAGTAGATCAGGACAGAGGAAGCTATTAAGTGAAAGCTCCTATTGCTGTTAAATTTTACAGTGAATTGAATTTAAAGATAGAAAGTTTTGCGGAAAAAGTCTTGCTTGCTTACGTAACTCATTATCTATCTTTGTTTCTTGTAATCTGATGAGCATTAGCCCTGTTCAATAAGGAAACTCAGAGTTTAAAAGTGAAAAGTCAACTTGTAAGACTCCCACAAAGAATCAATCGCTAGTCTACTTGGAAAAGAGACCATGAGTCACTCAGCTATAAAGCATGGCATGTAGTTTAACAGTAATCTCAAGTTAGCAAAAGAAATACTTCCCTGAATGTCTGCAGCAGCTCTCCACAAAAATCTGCAAGCATTTAATTTCAAACTGAACATAAGAGCCCGTAAGCATCTGAAGGATTAACAACATTTCAAAAGAATGGTTAAAAAAACCTCCAGATAGTCTGTCTCTTAAAATGACATTTCAAAGTTAAATCTTTTGTATGGAAAAAAGCAGTTTTGAAAAAAGAAGATCTTGTCAGATAATTCTCATAGCTACAGAAAAATCTTTGCTACATCTCCATGACAACTAGCAAATGTTAATTAGTTAGCTCAAAGTCCTAAAGGGTTTCCACCTGCCATAGCCTAGTAACACAGCATAAATTACCATTACACTTACATAATTAAGAAAAAACTCTCTCTGATAATTTGCTGTTTCATAGGATATGATATCTATTCAAGTCCTTATTTTATCTCAACTCAAAGACCATAGGAAAAAGAGTTTTGAAAAAAATCAGACTTTCACTGTCTGCTTCTCTGAGTTCAATTCCAAGTTAGGCTGACCTGGTTGTCTTTGAATGGACCTAAAATTACAGCAGCTAACAAGGTCTGTGAAAATGAATGATAGCATTTGTCAAAAGGAATAACTTTACAAAGAACAAAAATAAGGATTCCTGACAAAATCCTCATCTCCAATAACATACATGCTAATGTGTAGATAATGCACCATTTACAAGGGTAAGGGCTCTGGATCTACCACAACACATTTTTATACCCAAGTTCCTCACTCCAAGGCTTAAATTCCAATCATTACATCAGAATACTCAAAAAGTACAGGAAACTACTAGAAGCCCGATCACAACAAACATTTTTTAAATCAAAGATGGGAGAAAAACATGAGTCTGGATTTCTTACCATTACACTTCATTGCTCTGCCCAGTCTAATAAAAAAATGGAACAAATTAAATCCTGGCAGATTTCATAACTGAACTCCAGTTAAAGAAGATCTGAACTCCCCAAAGAAAACGAACTGAAGACAGGTCACTGGTGTCTTATTTTGGCTCTGAATACACTCGAGTAGCAAAATTCTTGAGATCCACAATGGTAGCTAACAGTGGTGCTCAAGAGTTGATAGCCACCATTAGGCTGAGCAGCAGCAAATGTGACAGCAGTACTACACATCTCAGATTGGATATAAAACCAAATTTTATTATTTTTTTTTATAATTAAAGGCTTCTTACAGTATTTTCTGACCTTTCTCCGTATCTTCCCAACAGGTTTTTCAAATTTAACTAAGCCATTCTCCCCCCATCCCCTGAAAAAACTGGGACAAAAAGTCAGCTTTTTAAATAAATGGATTGTCAAGTTCATGGAGATTGCTCCAGGTTCAAAGGAAGAAATAAGGGAGTATGAGGTTCTAGATTTACTGAAATATCTACATACTCTTTAGTGAAGATTCCTCGAGGACCAGAAGGTGTAATATTGCTCGGATCTAATCCATGAGTCTCCAGAATGTTGCGAGCTGCAGGACTTAAGCGAACCCTAAAGAAATGAGGAAAAAAAGAAACTATTTAAACAATAAGATTAACTTATTTCATTTAATGCATATCAAGAGAAACTACATGATATATGCTCTATTTCAGAAGCAACAGCTAGGGAAGAAAACAGAATTCTGCACTGTTTTTGTTTAACCCCAATCAGCAACTAAGCATCATGCAGCCACTCGCTCACTCTTCCCCACTGTGGGATGGGGAGAAAAAAATCAAAATAAGTAAAACTCAAGGGCTGAGACAAGAGCAGTTTAATAACTGAAATAAAATGTAATAGTGATGAAAAGGAATATAACAAAAAGAGAGAGAAATAAAACCCAAGAAAGAGAAGTGATACACAACGCAATTGCTCTCCACCCTCTGACTGATGCCCAGCCAGTCCCTGAGCAGTGATTCCCCACTGTGCCCCAGCCAGCTTCCCCTGGTTTATATACTGAGCATGATGTCTTATGTTATGGAACATCCCTTTGGCTAGTTCTGGCCACGCTCCCTCCCAGCTTCTTGTGTATCTCCTTACTGGCAAGAGCATGGGAAACTGAATAGTCCTTGACTTAGGATAAGCACTGCTCAGCAACAACTAAAACCACAGTGTGTTATCAACATTATTCTCATACTACATCAAAAACACAGCACTGCACCAGCTACCAGGAAGATACCACTCTATCCCAGCTGAAACCAGGACAATATCTTCCCCTTATTCTATGTCATTTACATCATGCCGCAGTCCCACACTTCCAATATATTCCAACTCATCACTTTTCCTGTCTCCTGATATATACACACAGGTATCACTCCTTTAGTCTATGGGCCATCCCTATAAAATGTCCATTGAGTTCATTCAGTCCATGACTTCGAGCTCCATCTGTCATTGATACCTGTGAACTAAGATTATCAGAAAATAGATATCTGAGTAATAGAATTACCAGGATCAATTTAAGCTGTTTTAACCATTTAACCATTGTGCTTCAGAACAAATACTAATCTTCTGAGGAATAGTTAGAATAACTGTAGGATGAGGAACTCATAAATAATCTTACTTGAGACAGTTTGGCCTTGTAGTAACAGGTGCAAAGAAACATAAAGATAAGGAAGCTATGAATTAGCAATAAAACCAGACCAGACCAGCCTTGAAGGACAAGATCTATGTGACCACAGGAGTGAGTTTGCGCAGAAGTAAGGATCAACTGGCAGACACAGTGAAGAAGACTACAAACCTTCATCTGAAGACCCCCGATGGCCAGATGAAGACTCCAACAGACATGTGCAACAAACATTAACATATGCTAATTAGCTCCAAAAAAGTTATGAATATGATAAAAATATTATTTAAATGCACTGAATATGTATTATTAAGGTAGTAAAAATGCTTGTTGATTTTCACACACACACACACATTTGGAGGAGCTATTCCCTGTGTGTCCTTCACTGTAATAAAGAACACCTGCTTTCTAAAACTCCAAAATTGAGTCTTAGAGAGTGAATTAATTACCGCTTTCTGGTAACATCATAACAGTCTTTCAGGGCAGGAACAACGGTGCACACTAAATCCACTGTAAGAACGACAGTGCACACTAAATCCACTGTAAGAAACTGAAGGAGTTAATGCCCCAAATATTCATCGCAACAGAAAGCCTCAAGGACCAGTTGTGCCCTTTGTGGTTAGTCTAAAGAACAATCTGCCCAAGGAAGTGCAGGGTGCCTCGGAGGATGAACGGTTCCACTCCCTAGTGGTTGCATTGACAAATTCCCTAGATAAGCTTCAAAGTAGGGAGACACTGACTGAGTAAACCCGTATGTTTGGGATACTGCCTACACTTTAATTTATGACTATACACTTAAAGAAGGGCTAAAAGATTGCGAAGGGAGAGAAACATCCAGCATTAGATGGAGCTGAAGGCTGAATAATTGCCCAAGAAACAAAAACTGAGGAAAAAGTAAAGGTGGTAGGGGGGGATCTCAACCACCAACTCAAGTGGACAAAACCGTTAATGCACCCCATCCTCCCCCCAACACATGCACAGAGTCCATGCTCTACTTTTTCCTCATCTCTCACGGAAATGAGTTTGTGGAATACCTGCCTCTATCTAGTATGCTAATCAGCTGATAGGATGAACTTAAAAGGCGACAGAAAACTTTGCTTGGGTGTGCACACACCATACAAGATTACTGGACCTGAGACAATGCTGGAACCTGACGTGGTGATCCAGAATTCTTTGACTCTCTTTCTCTCCTTTTCTTTTACTTTCTTTCTTTTCTTTTGTATAGATTTAACAATAAGAGGCCACAACGCTTACTATCCCTTTCCAAGTTTAAATTGTTTCTACTGCAAGTAAAACATTTTAACCAGTCCTTTGGTGTCATTCCACTTTAATTTAACTCAAGGGGATCACAAAAAACTTTACGACTCCCTGGGCTTCCAGTCTGGGTCATAACAGCCAGTTCTGTTTCCATCACTGCTGCGCTTGTCCAGTTCTATCATCACTGCACTTTGCTCACTTGCATCAGAATTAATTCTTCACTAAACTTGGTAATTTTACCCTTGATTTGGCATAGAGTCACCATAGAAGTGGTGATATACAGTTTTATATAGCATTTAACATGATACAATTTAAGTCACTGGCTAGTCTCACCCAAAATCAAATCCCCTTGTGGCACACATTGGACTTCCCCATCCTCCCACATCACCCTCCAAGTGCAGCCAGGTCCTTGAGCAAAAGCAATTCCATGGATGGGTTTGCCTTTGCCTGAGGCAGGAATAACCCAAACTGTTTTCCCTAGCATACTTTTTATGTGCACTACAGGGGACTTTATCCCCCTTCTAGAGTACATACATTTTTGATTGGTCAGGGCCAGCTTGACTGGTAGATCCCCTAATGTTGACTAACCAGGTGGCTTTTGCTTAATGTGTATCCCAATGTTTGAAGGTTCCACCCCGCTATTACTCTCAGTGGAGTCTTTAACAGTCTATTGTATCACTTGATTTTCCTAGAGGCTGGTGCAGAATAGGGGATGTGGTATACTCAACTCAATGCCATACATACTCCTTAACCCAGGTGTCTATAAGGTTGTTTCGAAAATGAGTCCTGTTGTCTGTCTCAATTGTTTCTGGGGTGCCATGCCACCACAATACTTGCTTTTCAAGGCCCAGGATAGAGTTCTGGGTGGTGGCATGGGATGTCTCCAGCCACAGGGTGGTTGCTTCCACCACTGTAAGCATATGGTGCTTGCCTTGGCAGGTTTGTGGGAGTGTGATATAGTCAACCTGCCAGGCCTCCCAGTAATTACATTTCAGCCATTGTCCTCCATACCACAGAGGCTTTTACTGCTTGGCTTGCTTGATCACAGCACATTTTTCACATTCATGGATAACCTGTGCAATAGTGTCTGTGGTCAAGCCCACTCCTTAATCATGAGCCCATCTGTGGGTTACAGCTCTTCCTTGATGGCCTGAGGAGTCATGAGCCCACTAAGCCATAAATTTCTCACTCTTATGTTGCTAGCCCAGATCCACCTGAGCCACTTCAGTTCTAGAAGCCTGATCCACCTGTTGGTTGTTTTGACGTTGTTCAGTGGCCCAACTCTTGGGTACGGGAGCTTCTATATGACATACTTCCACAACAAGGTTCTCTATCCAAGCAGCAATATGTTGCCATAACTAAGCAGCCCAGATGGGCTTGCCACTGTGCTGCCAGTTGCTCTGCTTCCATTGCTGCAACCATTCCCACAGGGCATTGCCACCATCCATGAGTCAGTATAAAGCATTGGACATTTTTCTCATTCATCAATGTCTAAAGCCAGCTGGAGGGCTTTCATCTCTGCAAAGAGACTCAATTCACTTCCTTCAGCAGTTTCTGTAACTTGTCACAAGGGACACCATACAGCAGCCTTCTACCTCTGATACTTTCCTACAATACAGCATGCTGCATCAGTGAACAGGGCATATTATTTCACATTTTCTGGTAACTTATTATACAGTGGGGCCTTGTCAGCATGCATCACCTCCTCCTCTGGTGATATTCCAGTATCTTTGCCTTCTGGTCAGTCCATGATCACTTCCAAGATTCTTGGACAACTGGGGTTTCCTAATCAAGCTTCTTGTGATCAGCACAAGCCACTTAGCATCAGTAGCATAATGCGTAGAGGGGACCCTCCCTTTGAACATCCAGTCGAGCACTGATAGCTAGGGTTCCAGGAGGAGCTGTGCTTCAGTGTCAACTACTTCTGAAGCAGCTCGAACCCCTTTAAATGCTGCCAATTCTTCCTTTTCAGTTGAAGTATAGCAGGCTTCAGATCCTCTGTATCCCCGACTCCAAAACCCCAGAGGTCGGCCTTGAGTCTCCCCTGGTGCTTTCTGCCAGAGACTCCAGGTAGGTCCTTTCTCCCCAGATGTGGTGTAGAGCACATTTCTAAGATCTTGTCCCGCTCAGACTGGACCAACGACTACTGCATGGACAGTCTCCTACTTAATTTGCTCAAAGGCTTATTGTTGCTCAGGGCCTCATTTTAAATCCTTCTTCTTCCAGATCACTTGAAGGAAAGGTTACAGTCTGACTTTAATTTGGAATGTGTATCCTCCAAAAACCCACAACACCTATGAAAGCTTGTGTTTCCTTTTTATTAGTTGATGGAAACATAGTTGCAACTTTGTTGAGCATATCCATCCGGATCTGACAACATCTATCTTATTCCTAAAAACTGCATTTACTGTGCATGTCTCTTGACTTTACTTCATTTTATGACAAAATCGGCTTTTAGAAAGATCTGGATTATTTTCTTCCCTTTCTCAAAATCTGCTGTGTTGCCTCACATGATGATGTCATCAACGTATTGTTGGTGTTCCAGCCATAATAAATCATCTCTATCATGGCTAATTCTCTCAGATACTGGATACCTCTCTCCATGGTGGTCCACTTGCCTGGGTGATACATAACATCTTCCTTGAAGGGACACCTTTCCTTCATGCTTGACAGGAGCTGCCTCCAGAGGCTGAGGACTTGTATCCCTTTTCTAATCACTTTGTCAATGCCCCCTTCCCTAGAAAGTGATCCCAGATGATTTGCTTCCCTATCCTCTTATTCCAGGCTACTAGTGTCATTATTCCAGCTTCAGAGCTGTCAGGTGATAATGTGCTTACCTGTATGACAGCTAAAATCGTTTCACATATCCCACAACTGACTCAGGAATAGGGATCAAGTGGTTACCTCGTTCTGCCTCTTCCTCCTGTTCCTTGTGATGTCCTGCTTCATCCTCTTTTACTAAACGAGCTGACTTTTGCATCCATTTCTTCTTGTGTATAGGGGCGACTGATACTGGCACTGGTTGGTTTTCTGGTTCAGCTACAGTGCCTGTCATTTTGTCATCAGATCCAGATACCTTCTTTTCCCCTTGAGGGTAGTGAACAGTGTTGAACAGGGCTTGGTGACCATGGGCCAGGTCACAGCATGTTTGCAGTGATTTGTGTCTCTGGCATTACCAGAGTGACACCATACTTTTTCCAAATATTTTACTAGTTTTATCCAGTTTTTGCAATTTTCCTGGGCAAAGTTCCAAAACACTGGAGGTACCCACTGTCCTAGATACTCATCCATACTACCCCACAAACCCTGTCACTTGTAATTATCTAGCCTTGGGGCAGATCTCTAGGTGATATTCTTAAATAGTTGTTTAAACAACACCTGGAACACATTCAAGAAACAGAGCAATAGGAATATGTTGGTTTGAACATTCCAAGGATATTCAAAATTCTCAAGAGCTATTGTGATTACCCTGGAGGATAGGGGGAAGATGAAGAAAGGTGTCTCCCCCATGGATTGGCTTTCTAAGTAGAAAAAGTAAAAAGTGTAATTATTTATAGTTTCTGATAGATGGCTCCCGAAGTATGGAGGTGACAGCAATGCTGAGTACAAATACAGATTAGTTTCACGACCAGCAATCCTATCTTCTCATAAGCCAGTGTTACAATATACAACAACACGATAGTTCTAGCCAAGTTCGCATGGATGATAAACAGCACAACAGGGAACATATTTCAAGAACAAGCACACCAACTTTGAGAGCAAATAAATCAGCAATATGACCAGTGACCACTGAACCAATATAATGACTGCTTATAACAATTTTTTCTGATATGTTCCAGTCAGATTGATTATTATATCAACCCGTCAGGCCCCATGTAGGGTGCCAAAAAGGACTGTTGTGGTTTAACCCCAGCTGGCAACTAAACACCACACAGCTGCTCATTCAATCCTCTCCACCCCGGGTGGGATGGGAAAGAGAATTGAATAAAGTAAAGTAAAACTTGTGGGTTGAGATAAGAACAGTTAAATATTTGAAACAAAATATAATAATGAAAAGGAAGATAGATAACAAAAAGAGAAATAAAACAAGACAGACAAGTGATGCACAAGGCAATCACTCACCATCTGCTGACTGCTGCTTGGGGACTAGGGCTGGGCATCAATCAGCCCCTCACAGCCATCTCCCCCCACCTTATATACTGAGCATGACATCCTATGCTATGGAATATGCCTTTAGTTAGTTCAGGTCAGCTCTCCTGTCTGTGCCCCCTCCTAGCTTCTTGTGCACCTCCATGCTGGCAGAGAATAGGAAACTGAAAAGTTCTTAACTTATGGTAAGTGCTACTTAGCAACAACTAAAACCTCAGTGTGTTATCAACATTATTCTCATACTACCTCAAAAACACAGAACTGCATCAGATACTAGGAAGAAAATTAATTCTACTCCAGTCAAAACCAGTACACATACAAAGGCTGTGATCCTATCACTGAAGCCAGACTGTGCTCTTTCATCAGGCTTTAATGCAAAGTTGAATTTAAAGAACACAGCAATGACCGTAAAGGGATCAAAATAGAAAGGAACACTCATCACCAAACTTTCCTCTTACAGCAGTGATGCAATATACTTGTGGACTCTTCCGGAAAAGGGTCATTATCAAAGAACAAATTTTTTAAGACCAGCTTGTTATAGAAACGTTAAAAAATGAGATTTAGGAGCTCAGACAAGAGCGTTGCTCATCTCTATTATTTGTTGGGCTAGCTGCAATTGCATCACTTATGCAGCTTAATTCTAATTATAACATTATCTTCACTCTTGCTTCAATTTTATAGGATTGATTTAATGAAATGGCTACTTTCTTTGGAAAGTAAAAGCTCTACAGATGTAGTTACATAATTCAGTATCTGCTTTAGAAGACTAAATATTAAGCCCTCCCACACTCAAACACTTTTAATCAGCATGTACCTAAGGTATACTATAATACTAGGAAGCCTGTACCTGCCATCTTGATCTAGATGGAGTATGCTCAATAGTAACATTTCTGCCTGGAAACAGAAACAGTGATCAACTACAAAGCACAGTACACAGCTATACAGCACCCAGTGCACTTTAGCATGATTTGCTTTCTGAAATAAGGAAAAAGATCTTTTGTATCTTAGACACAAAAGCAGCAACATTTTCATAAAAGAATAAATACTTGGATTCAAGTCTTTCAACAAAATTTCCAATTCATTATTTCCTAAAGGAGACTGTATTTGCACCACATTGAGTTTTAAGAACTGTCTATAAGCTCTTGCCAAAAAAATGGTCATAAATCATCACTTGATCCCAAAAGGTGCCGATACATCTCTAATTAACAGTTACAGCGATACAGATGCACTTGATGTTCTTCAGTACTAAAATGCAAGACTTAATCCTTTCAAGGATCCTTTCCTTGGATCATCCCCCCTACTACAGGTAAGGTTTGGGCAATGACCTCAACTAGTCATCTTCTACTTGTATGAGAAGAGCCAAAATGCTGACAACAAAAGTAAACATGGTAAACCAGATAGAAAAGGCAATCAGGGTTGGGAAAAAAACAAACAACCAAACAAAAAAACAAAACAGAAAACAAAAAATCCCCTGTGCTGGGTTTGTGTGTGGTGGGGTTTTGGTAGCGAGGGAGGGTGCCACAGAGGTGGGCCCTGTGAGAAGCTTCTCAAGGCTCCCCTGTCTCCAAGTTGGACTCACCTCTGCACCAAAGCCGAGCCAATTAGTGATGATGGCTGCACCTCTGTGATAATGTATTTAAAAAGGGGAACATGGGAGGAGGGGGAGTTGTGAGGGAGACACCTCTGCAAAAAAGATTCTTCCTGGTTCCTGTACTGATCTAATTAAGTAAGAGTTCAGTTTCCTAACACACATAGAAACTTACTGCAATTTTCCAGGTTGATGTTCCAGTTTAGGAGGGGCTGATACTGAAGTACCTGCAGGAGTTGAGGTAAGTACATGTGCTGGTGGAGCCGGAGAAGACGGATCACCACCATCAGCTGGTATTTCAACTTGCTTCCAGTCCTGTCCTTCCTCTACCAGCAGAGCAATTAGTGAGCCCAAGCGTATGTTTTTGCTTCCTTCATTCACCTAAATTTAAGGCAATGAGAACATTAAGTTACATATGGCACTGTCTAGACTAATATGACTAAAAATGGTAGATGTGAAAATTTCATGCATACTAGTGACACTTCATCATGAAAATACATCCCATTCTATTCCTATTGTTAACAAGAGGACTCATGACTGAAATTAATTACAGTCTCCATTATAAAGTGAGGAATATTAACTTATGCCTCAAAATCCCATACACCTAAAGTTAGCATTCAGAAATCAAAGCAAGTAAGTTACAGGCTACTGGGTACCTCCAAGGATAAAGTCACATCAGTTACTGAAAACAATCGGAATGCCTAATCTTTGAGAACAGAGCCTGGAAGTTTTGCTGGACACATTGAGCAGATGTACTTTGAGGTATCTACACTTTATCTAGCAGTGTTACTTTTTAAAACACAAGCTTGTAAATTCAGAAGCTGAGGGAACAAAAAGAGACCAAAACCCTGCAAGAACAATGCCTCATTACTTCTTTTTGAAAAAGGTAACATTTGCTTTCCATTAACTTTTGTTTGTCTGTTTTAATGTAACTGGTGCAAATAACAACTCTGACCACCAAGAAAGTGATAGCACTTCCGTGGTATGTAAATCACTGTTTCAAAGACCATCTGAACAGAAGTCTTACTGGAAGATAAATCTAGTCTAATCTAATGTCCTGGTTGGGGCTGGCCTAGAGTTCCCGTTGGTTTGGCAGCGGGAGGAGCTGCAGCCCCCTGAGACCCCAGGGGCTCCCCAGGTCCCAGTGCCCTCACCTGTGTGCGGGGGCGGGGGGAGCACAGCTGGAGGGCTGAGCTGGGATTGGCCAATAGTCCATGTCATGTGACATTGTGCTCACTATATAAAGGCAGGAGTGGGCCGGGAGAGGCTGCCACTTCCGGGACTGTGGCTGTGGGGCCTTTGTGTTCGGGATCACCAGCCGGGAGCAGGCGGGTGTTGGTCGGCGGGTGGTGAGCAGCTGTATTGTACATCACCCGCTGATACTGCTGTCAGTGTATTATTCTGTTACTGTTATTAAACTGTTTTTATCTCAATCCTCTAGTCTCCCTTTGACCCTCCGATTCCCTCCCCATTCCCAAGTGGGGGGAGGGTGGGTGGGTGAGGGACTGTGTGGCGTTTAGCTGCACAGTAGGCTCAAACCACGACATCTAATATAATCTAATTAGTTTGGATAAAGTAAATCTTTTCTAGGTGTTCCTTTTAAAATAAAAAGATATCTGTACCACAGTCAAAATATCTCTGATGCTTTGGCAGATAAAGGCATGGCAGTCATGTTAACCTAACAAAGGGCTCCTCCTACAGTCTCTGAATTGGTTGCAGAAGTACAACTTCTCAGGTTCTCAAAAGCTATAACATTTTCAGGGCATCAGGCCAAATGTAAATATAGGACCACAGGTAGCCAAATACAACTTAGACTGTACCAGCCTAACAAAGGAAAGTTAACATTATATTTCTACCATAAAGCCATATTGTACATACATTTGCCTCAAATGGAGCTAGTATATATCTGCAATGCTGACATCTTCTCCAAGAAAATGCAAATGATTATTTGAAAAGCCCAAAGGCAGACACACAGAATAAAAATATACATAGTATTAGATATCAAACTGTTCTTACTACCTTAATTGGGTTTTCTAGGCATTTAAACATTACTAAATAAAACAGAATGCCATAGAGATTACATTGGGCAGGTAAAAATACTACAACATTATTACTCACATTAAGATTGTTGCCTGCACAGTTAACTCCACTGACAGAATGTATTAGATTTCACAGGATTACCCAGCTCCCTCAATTGGAGGGCCAACAATAGACCCAAGAAGGAACGGCAAAGGCAATTTGTTCTCAGTATGTCCTGATAAAATATCTCATTTAGTTTTGTCAGTTCACGTCTTTTTTCCCCATGAACACTAGGTAAATTCTAGTGTAATATTTCCTCTTAAAGAGTATGTCACATGAAAAAATTTAAGACTTAGTTCAGTATTTCTTGTTCTGATCTCCTGATGTGGTATTCTCATTAATATTCTGAAAAGCTTCATTTGAGAGAAGAGAATCTGAAGAGTCCATCAAGACTTGATCGTATTTTTTTTAAGATGACTTAAAAGTACTTGGGGATGACAGAAGGCCAAACAAACATCCTCAACTGACTTGTCTAAGGCTGAAAGATCCTATCACAGAAAGGCCCATTGATAAACAGATTTGTAAAACTACGTATTCATTGCAATGTGACTACCACTCATAATCAAATAAAACAGCAACTCGAAGTACAAACAAAACCTACCTAAACTAGTAATTGAAACACAAAAACTGAAAAGAACAAAAGAAAACAAAGCTATAAACATACAAAATACTGAAGCTATTCATTCTCAGATTTTTACAGCATTATCATACTTAGCACTGAACAACGTATTTAGGAAAAACTATGTTTATCAGCATTACACTCAAATGTTTTATCCATATCAATACAGATGGCAAAACAGGTATGTCCTCCAAGTTCAAAATACTTCCCATAACATATTAATATGAAACATTTAACTTTTTTTTTTTCCGAAATAAGAATAAACCGAAATTGCTGGCATGTCTTCTCTTTCCTTTACAAAGGCTTGCATATGCAACAGAGAACACTTATTTTTATAAGCAGTCTACATATTGTAATTCATGAGACCAAGAAGCAGTGTGACATGCTTGTGGTGTCAAGTCCTGACCACACTTTTGGTGTCAGAGTGCTTTAATGGTGCTATGACAACACATGCAGAAATCCAACAAGGTTGAGCTTTCAGAAACATAACACTCACAACTAGTTACGCTTTGTTTATAACCCAGCATTATATGAGCATTCAAAGCCATCAGTGCTGTCAACTTTCACTCTTCAGAGCAAGCCAATTGTGTTTTTTCTCATGTTCATCACTTCAAGACAGATATGTGAAAACTCCAGCATTCCTTCTTTTCCAATACAAATTTCCAGCCCAGATGACTGCAGAGTTTATATTTTTTAAAAGTATATGCATGTATTTTTTAAAAAAAAACCCATGCTTTTAAACACACAGCCTTTGCAGCTAGGAACAAGAGTAGACAAAGAAAAATGGTTATTATTTTGCTTAACTTTTCATCTGCCACATTTTTGAGTCACTTCTACATTTTCATAATTCACAATACCAGAAAACTGCTCTGCATAAATCTCAATGAAGCCCAGAATCCCATACATAGAGCATAAATAAGTAGCTTCACAATACTTCTATTACTGTGTATATGCATAGCCAAGAAGAGTCAAAAAAATCCTAACTTTGTGGACAAACCAGCAAAGCACAGGTGAGCCATGACAGGGAGAAAAAAGGAGATTTAGTACACAGAGGAATCAAGTTGCCTCAGAGCTGTTGTCACTGCAGCACAGTGCTTTAGTCACTAACACACATATACCAAAGTAGATGTTTATTTCCTATACTGGGAAGAAAGGCGGATGGAACTTATGCTGGCTTACTCTGCAGTGAAAGTTTTATACAAAGTAGTTTCGGTTCATACCAATTCTCATCTGCATCATGAATGAGAAAATGGTAATGGATATTAAATCCAGTTCTTAAACAATCATTCATCATCTGATTTTGGTCCAAATTGAGCTAATAAGTATTTCAGGTAAAAAAGTCAGTGTTAATTTAAGAAGCAACTCTACTGAAAGAACAATCACAATTCTGAAATTACCCTTCTAATATTTTCATTCAGTCATTTAATCTTTTACTGCATTTTACACTGAATCAGATGTGATCATTAAAAGATCTATTCCAACAGAAAAGGAATATATGCAAGAATATCTATTTTACTGTTAGCCAGCTTTCTTAAACCATACATACTTACATTATACAATCAAGAAAAAAAAAAGTATTACAGAATTTGAATTGATTTAATCTAAGAAACAAAGTGTTAAGCAGATAGTGTGTTTGACTCAGTTTTCCATACTGTGCTCAGTTAAGATGGTGCAGAATTGTAGTTAGCATCAAATAACATAAAACTGTTGCCTTGTTTCTTTTAAGGAAGTGAGTAAACTTTAGCCAGATGCTGATACCTCAGATGCATCAAACATTCTTAATTTCCCATGAACTACATCACACTTGAAACTTCTGAGTGGCTTTTGGAAGGACAGTCTTTTCAATAAGAAATCATCTCCCATCTGCAAACCTCAGACATCTTATTATGAAAAACCTTACACAAACATCTACAGAACACCCAGTAGAGTGCAGAAATATCCACAGAATACTGCAGAAGGATCATACTTGAGCTAGGAAAAAACAAAGTTTCTGATCTTATTGCTCCCCTATCATTTCAGTTTCCAAAACATGAGGCTGCTTCTGTACTTTTTAGGAGACTGGAATAAAAGACTACTCATGTATCTATTCTGTACTCTAGTACTTAAGCTCACCATTTCTCAGTTCCAAAAAGGGGGATTAAAAGAATCCATAGGATTTGCATAATAATCTGTTCATGTTACTCCAATAATGGTGCCTCTCTTCCCTTAATCTGAAAGACATTATAGTTATTTTCCATCTCCTGACATCTCCTCCTCAGCCTCAGATCTTGGCATATGATTGTTATTGGATGATGTGGGTATCTTGGCGAAGGCTGAGTGTCACTGTCCATGGTACTGGTCTCATGTAGTTGCTGGTGAATCTGGATTTGATCTATGAAAAATGTGCCACAACAGCAATATGCACAAAAAAATTTCAGAATGCATTCCGAATACAGGACAGGAAACAGGAAAGACATAGCTTCTGAAATACTAATGCTACTTGTAGTCATCATGAATTATTATTAAAGAAACTTGAAAAAACAATATTGAGTCTGCTATTCTTTTCTTAATGTCTCTCTGGGAATCATTCTTTAATACTTTTGACAGAGACAATCCTCATATCTCTCCTTCACATAATCTAACAAAGCAGTATCTGTAAATGCAGACTGGGTACTTCATATTAAAAAAAAAAAAATATTAAGAG